GGGAGGGAGGGAGAGAGGGAGGGAGGAAGAAAGGAAAAAAGAATAACAGAATAACAGACTCAGAAGGGATCTCGGAGGTCATCTAGTCCAACCCCCTTTTTTTAACTTATCGACCGCGGTGATCCACTTATCAACCGAAGGTCGTAAAATGGGGCAAAGCTCACTTTTGGGCTCCATGGTGGTCGTACGTTGAGGACCACCTGCACTTTTGGGAGAGGGGGGGGGAAATGTGCCATCCTGCCCAGATCCTCCCCAGATCAATTATTAGAGAAAGGAAGAAAAAAACGAGGATTGGGATTGATTGACACACGTGTCCCCTCCCTTTTTTTTCCCCTTTTTTTTTGCAGGCTGCGGCGCCGAGTTCAAGATGAGCCATATCAACCCCAGGCGCCGATGTCTGGGCTCACTTTTCCCCGTGCTAGTTTCTCCCACTCCCACTGTGAGTGTCGGGGGGCAGAAGGTGCTGTAGCCCCCTTCTCTGCCTCCCCCCCCCTCCGGGAAAAAAAGAGCCGAGCCTCAGTTTCCCCTCCGTTGCTTCCTCGCAACCCGCCCTGAGCCGGAGCGACACGGATCCGGCCGCAAGCTTTGTTTCCTCCCGACGAGGACCCTCCTTTTAATTTATTCTTCTTTTTTTTCTTCAAACAAACAAACAAACAAACAAAAAAAAACACACACACACAACGAACCTCTTTATTTTTATTTGTTTTTTTAATTTTCTTGGGTGGTGCTGAAATAATTTTATTTTTTAATGTTTATTTTGGGAAACGAAAAGAGGAGAGAAAAAAAAACAGAAGACAATAAATCGATCGATAAATCCTGAACTTTTTTGATTTTTTGGAAAAAATAAAATAAAATAAAAGGGGGGCGAAGAACAATGACGTTTTGATCCGAAACGGACGGTGAGGACGAATACGATGAACTCCGTTCCTAAGCGGGGATCGGGATCTGCGTCCCTCTTAGCGTCGAACTTCCGCGTGCCTTCCCCCCCCCATCCTCCTCCCCGGGACGAGCATCATGGGCTTCGGAGGAACGAAAAGAAGAGATTGCAGCCCGTTGGTGGCACGAGCATTTACGGATTTGCGGAACGGAGGGGCTGCCCGGCGTAGTTTATTATTATTATTATTATTTTTTATTTGTTCGTTTAATTTACTTTTTTAATTTTGGGGTGTGTGTGTGTGTGGTTGGAAATTTTGAGAGAGAGAGAAAAAAAAAAGTTTGGAAAAACAGAAAGGAAAAAAAAACAAACAAACCGCAAGCAAGCAAGCAAAAAAAAAAATTTAATACGGGTTTCTTAACACAGGACTTTTATGGGTTCAGTTCTCTCTGGGTGAACTTCTGGTTTTTTTTGGGGGGGGTCAATCAAAAGAGAGTGTACATTGATTTATATATATTGGCTGGGCGGGGGCCAGGGACAATTTGCGTGTGTGTTTTTTTAATTATTCTGATGGACATTTGATTTCTTACATCCTTTTATATATTATATATATATATAAATATAAGGAGAAAAAAAAATCTGGTTTGTATTAGAAACTGCTTTTAAAGACAAAAATACACAAAACAGACAAAAAAGATATATATATATATATGTGTGTGTACACAAGTGCAGGCGAAGTTGTCGGTGCAAGGCACGGGGCGGGGGGGGTGGGGGGAATTTGACCGGATAGTAAAATTTACAACCCTGTGCAAGAAAGGGTATATATGGTGCTTGCCCCAAATCAGAGACAGACGGGTAGATGGGAGAAGAAGAAAAAAATTGGCAAAATTTGGCAAGGGGGGGTTGGGAAATTATCAACACTGTCCTAGCTTTTTGTTACGATTGTTAGGTGTGTAACTTAACACAATTCTAGCCTTCCTTTCCCCTTAACTATTCAATGTCCTTAACTCTCCCCGTTAATAGTTTCATCTTTTAACCGATGTGATTATTTAATTGTGGGGTTTTTTTTCCCCCTTATCGAATTCACCAGCCTATCTTCTTTTAATTTTATTTTTTTAAAAGCTAGACAGTTCTCACTCCCAGTTCGTTTAAAAAAATATATATCAGAAAACAAAAATGTCTGATTTGGGGTAATTTTCCTCTCTTCTCGTGTTGTTGTTTTGGTTTTTTTTTTTTGAATTTTTACCTCCGCGCGTCAGAATGGTTTTACGATTTATAAATGTTCTCTTCTTTTTTAATTTATACGTCTTTTTTTGTTTTTTGGTTGTTCGATAATGTTTTTTCTCTATTTATTGGTCCTTTATTGGGAGGGGTGGTTTTTTTTTGCTTTTTTTTTTTTTTAAAGAAACATCTTTTTTAAAATGTTGTACCTGTTTGGGGTTTTTTTTTGTTTTTTTTAAAGACACGTCTCTCTTTTTCCGTCAGTCCTTTTTTTTTTTTTTGTGAGTTTCTCTCTCGAATTGTTATGTTTTATTTTTGTCAGGACTGTTTCCTGGACGTTAATGCTCAAGTTTTCTCACGAGGTTAGGTGGGACGGGAAGGGGGGGGAAATGTGGGGAGGGGGTCGAGGGGGTGTGTGAGAAAATAAAAAGTCGATTCTCTCTTCATTTGTGGATTTCCTCCTGAACAGAATCTCATCCTATCCTAGACTTGTAAAAAAATAAATCTTTCTTCCGAAGCCTGCACTTTTTT